GGAGTCCTCTTTAGGAGAGTGGACAGAATAACTGATGCCTTTGTTTTTGTTCTCCATTAGTTCACCTCTTCCTGCATAACCTACAAATGACACAGTGAATTATCTAAGGAGTCCAGTGTTGGGTTAAACACAGCGGCTTTGGAGAGAGATTTTGCGTTCAAGTTACTTAGCTTCTCAGTGTAGCCACCTGCATCTGTAATCATCCTGTCCCTCACAGGGTTGTGAAAAGGTGTAAATGTGTGTAGTGTGTGTGAAGGACATACCACATAGCCCTCTCTCTGCAGGCTATGTGCTACACTGAACAAGTGGTGGCCATTATGATATTTGTCAGGGCTGACTGCCAGCATGTTGGGTTCCCAGCAGGTGTACCCGGACCTATGAGTACATGCAGGTCTGTATGTACACACTGCAACCTCTACAAGACGCCCCATCAACAGAGGCTGATGGCCTGAGCGGAAATGTGCCTTCCCACCCCAGCACACATGATGGGCTGCAGGTGTTCTGGCACAGAAAGGGCTCAGAATGGTGAGAAGATACTAAACTATATCCTGACCTGGGGAAACAAAAACTATTTCCTCATCATCTTCACCCAAACTCTACCCAGGATTTGTGGGAAAATCCCAAAGGGCAAAACCCAGACAAACACATTGCTAATTTGCTATTTGGTGTCTATAAACACGCGGCACACCTAAGGCAACGTAACAACACAGCTATACACACACGCACGCGCACACATACAGCATTTTCCAGTCATGTGTAAGAGGCAAAACCCCACCTCCCAATCCTTCTTGGTCCTCCCCAGGACACATATACACACACTCCACTGAGAGCAGCGTTTGTCTCAGGTGTACACATCCACTACCCTTATACCTCGTTTATAAAAACTACTAAGCCTACCCTGAGTACTGCTGCCATGAAACTGCTTCCGGAATGGTGGCTGCAGCTCACCAGAGGCTTTGAGAGAATGCTGATGGACGGACACTAGGGGCAAGGCCCCCCTCCTCTTTTTTTTTTTTTTTTTGGTTGGAGGTAGGATCTCACTTTGTTGCCCGGGCTGGAGGGCAGGGTGTGAGCACAGCTCACTGCAGCCTCAGCCTCCCAGACTTTGGCAATTCTCCTGCCTCAGCCTCCTGAATAGCTGGGACTACAGGCATGTGCCACTACGCTTGGCTATTTAAAATTTTTGTGGAGACAGGGTCTTGCCATGTTGCTTAGACTAGTCTCAGACCACTGGGCTCAAACCATCCTCCCACCTTGGCCTCCTAAAGTGCTGGGATTATAGATATGAGGCACCATGCATGGCTGGTAAGTCCCTTTAATTTTCTAATATACTTAGGAGGGAGGCATCAATTTTGCCTTTTGATGAACGACAAAACTGAGACTCAGAGAAGTAATGTGCCTAAGCTCATACAGCTGGTAATAATAATAGCTAACACTTGCGGGTTTACTGTGTGCCAGGCATTTCCTAGAGGCTTTACATGAATAGGCTGATCCTCACAAAAGCCATAGAAGGTAGGGGCCAGTATGATTCCCACTTTATAGATGGAGGAAATGGTAGCACAGAGAATTTAAGTAAATTGCCCAAGGGCACACAGCTAATAACTAGAAGGCCTAGGTTTGGAAGCTAGGTAGCCATGCTCTTAACTGGAGATGAGGTTTGAATCAGGGTCTGACCCCAATGCCCAAGCTCTCTCCGCTCTGCTGATGACCACATGGATTTTTGCACCCCAGTAACTTACCTGTCGGCTGTGTCCTGGGCTGGATATACTTGAAGGACTGGATTGTGGCAAAGCTAGGCTGCTATTTTTCCCAACCTGAAAGACACCAGTGAAGCCCCCACTCAGACACGCGAGCCAGCCTGGGGAGGGTCCCTCAATGCCACATGTCGCCAGGGGAAAGAAGGGCTGCACAATGCGTGCTTCATTCCCTCACACTGGCTCAGAACTGGTGTTTCCATCATAAGAGGCAGAGAAAATGAAAATGTTGCAGAGGGTGCCTCGAGATGCCCTCTCCTTCCCAGAAGAAAAGTGGAACGGTGGGGAACTCTTCATACTGCTCCCTAGCTGGCTGGACCGCAAGGGGGAGGGATGAGGAGGAAGGCATCTGGGGAGAAGCCTGGCCCCTCCTGGGAGCACTTCACTCGGCAGAGGCTGGGCTTTTCTACCTGTGGCCAAAGGGTCACACAGCTCATCCACCTCTGACCCTCAGTCCCAAACCCGTCTTGTTTCCAACGCAGACTCCCTCAGCCCGACTGCAGATAAAACACCTGGATCTTTTGCTGGGTCGGTTTTTCTGGATAGGAGATGTAACGCACACTCCACTGTTCTTTAGAAAAATAGCATGATGGCGCTGGGCTTCTCCTTCACATGGAGGGGAGGGCAGGAACGCTGTGCCTGTAGGTGTGGCCACCGTGCTCTTCCCTTTCCTCTGACTGTCCTGCACACGGGGAGCCCGGTCCTTGGGGAAGCTGACGCCAGACACTAACCTGTTCCTGACTGGTCTGCAAAGGCAGCTTGTACTTTCATCCTGTAAACTGCTCCTCTTGTCTATTAACTTGCCTTTATGTAAAGACATTTGCCTTACATTACTATTATTTTTTTGAGACAGAGTCTCGCTCTGTTGCCCAGGCTGGAGTGCAGTGGCGCGATCTCAGCTCACTGCAACCTCTGCCTCTGGGGTTCAAGTGATTCTCATGCCTCAGCCTCCTGAGTAGCTGGGATTACAGGCGTGCACCACCCCGCATGGCTAATTTTTGTATTTTTAGTAGAGACGAAGTTTGACCATGTTGGCCAGGCTGCTCTCCAACTCCTGACCTCAGGTAATCCACCCACCTCGGCCTCCTAAAGTGCTGGGATTACAGGCATGAGCCACCGCACCTGGCTACATTCAGAGTCTTGATTTTTGTTCAGTTTAACAGCCCTGTGGCAACTTCTGGCCTTATACCAACCAGATGCAATTAAATGGATCCTCAACTTGTTCCCAAAGCACGGGTTTACTTTGGATTTCTCAATCTCATGAGTTACCCACCCCCCACCCCTGATCTCCTAGCAGAATTAACACAGATCCCAAGGGCCTTTGACTTTCCCCCCTAACACTTGGAAGTCACTGGTGATAAAGCCTTTTCTTTCTTTTTTTTTTTTTTTTGAGATGGAGTCTTGCTCTGTCACCCAGGCTGGAGCGCAGTAGCACAATCTTGGGTCACTGCAACCTCTGCCTCCTGAGTTCAAGCGATTCTCCTACCTCAGCCTCCCGAGTAGCTGGGACTGCAGGTGTGTACCACCACGCCCAGCTAATTTTTGTAATTTTAGTACAGACAGGGTCTCACCATATTGGCCAGGCTGGTCTTGAACTCCTAACCTTGTGATTTGCCCACCTCAGCCTCCCAAAGTGCTGGGATTATAGGCGTGAGCCACAATGTCTGGCCGATAAAGCCTTTTCTTAATGCCCTGGTGACAAGCACGGAGGTTTCACCTGCATTAGAGAACCAATGCTGACCAGACCCAAGGCAGCTGTTAAATGCATCAGATTTTAAAAAATTCCCTGCTGCCAAGCACCTGGCAGCTCCTTTCACCACTGCTTCTAGCTGCCTCAGCATTTACTAAGCATTTCCTATAGTCCTTCAGACCAAAGAATCACCAGAGCCACATCTACTCAACACAGAGCACTCTGTGAATGGCATGGAGCCCAAGAGCCCGGACTCCAGAGCCAAAACGCCTGGGTTTCAATCCCAGCCCTGCTACTGCCTTGGCGTGTGGCTTGGGTGCCTTGCTTAACCTTCCTGTACCTTGGCTTGGTTCACTCATCTGTAAAAGAGGAGTAACAGCAAGTAATCACATACACCTGAAGTACTTGGAACAGAGCCCATCACCTTCATGCTAGCTGCTAGGACTGTATCTAAGATGAGTGAGACACCACGGTCTTGCTGTTCAAGCTGTGGCCTGGGAGGCTGCTAGAAATGCAGACTCCTAAGCCCCTGCCTGGGCCTGCTGACTGAGAATATGCATGTTCACAAGCCCCACTGGGGGAGTCGGTACATATTTAAGCTTGAGACATACCCTGGCTCTGCCCTCCGTCCTGGGCCCTGGCGGTGGCTTAGCCTCCAGGGTGAGGAGCAGCAAGTTAGCCTCCAGGGAGTTTAGCCTCCAGGGAGAGCCCTGTGGGTGCCGGGCCCCCTCCCCCACACCCCTGGCCATGGGGAGTCAGAACAGTGCCCTCTGCTCCAGCGAGGGAACCTGTGTCTCCCCCTCCTCTCACCTTGGCCTTGGTTTGCAGCTTGTCTGGCCCTTGGGTTCCAAACTTGCTGTTTCTCATGTGTTTGTGATTTGTGAATCCCCCTCAGGCTGTGCTCTTCATGAGGTTATAACAAGTCTCATAAGTGGTGACATAAAACATTAAAACATCTTTTAACAACTGCCTCCCATTGCTCCAAAGTCCTCAACCCTAGATGGGGCTGGGCTTGGGGTCTGGTTCCCTTGATTCTGTATAATGGTCTCTGGACACACTGCCCTGATGGGTCTAGGCTCTGGGGCAGGTTGGCCGGTCCTCTCGCCAGACCCGGCTCTGCAGAGAATCCCAGGCCGGCCCCTCCCGACGTCCGCTCCCTCATCTCTGCCCGAGCGGCCCCAGAGGCTGGGCTTTCCTAAGTAGCCTCCCCAGCCGGAGCAGAAGGACTAGACTCAGGGATGAGAGCAAAGCTCAGGGGAGAGGAACGTGTCCTCAGACCGCGCCACACTCTCTCAGCTTCCTCACCCTACACACTCCTATTTGTACTGTGGCATTGAACACTTCTCTGCCAGCTGGCGGGAGTTGCAGTTTTCCTTTAGGAAGGAATGAGTTCTATGAGGAGGACGTGGGGGTCGAGGCAGCCTAGAAAAGTGGGAAGGACAGTCACCTGGGAGCTGGGCACAGGCGCTTCTACTCCCAGGTGGGACCCCGGGTCATCTAACCTGCCTGGGCCTCAAGCTCTTCCTAAGGGGTTCCAACAGATCAGATCAAGCTTCTTAGCAACAGAACTCTTTAATGACAACGTCCTCAGAACCTCAAAACATAAAACTGACCAATGTGGAGCGGGGAACTCAGAATCTCTCTATGCCCCGGTTTCCTCATCTGTACAGTGCTAACTGCACCCACTGCACTGGAGTGTCATGAGGACTCGGTGAGGTCATATCTGTAAAGTACTGAGAACAGCGCCTAGCACATAGTGAGCGTGGTATCAAGTACTTGTTCAATAAAGTGCTCTCAAAGCAGAGGGTGAAAACTGCCCTTGGGGAGAACGAGGGAAGGAGTCAAGCTTGTGTTACCTGTCGGAGCCACCCGGCCAAGCAGGGGCGCTGCCCAGCTCCCCCTGCCCCCCAGAGCCGGTGAAGGCGGTGCCAGGAGGTCCCTTACCTGCCGAGAGGAGGTGCTGTTAACGGGATCGGGCACCGGTGCGAGAAGGCTGGGCGGGTTCTTTTTGTGAACGCTATTCATACCAGGCATTTTAGTGATTTTACAGGCTTTGCTACTAGAACTTGAGTTCTTACGCTTTTTTCCTTCTGATTTGTCAAAAGAGAGGGGCAGAGAAGACACAGCATTGTGTGAGGCCAGAGAGAGGTCCCCCGCGTGGAGCGCAAGGGAGGGCACAGAGAGGGGACAGGAGTCACTGCTGCCTCCCACCGCGCCCACCTGTCTCACTATGTCCGCGGGGCCGCCGGGCAGCGAGGTCCGTCCTGAGGGCTCCAGTTTGGCACTGAGTGGGCTCACCCCATTGTTTGAGTTGTGCACAGACAGACTGTTATAGGGAGAGGCTGCCTGATAGGAGTTCAAAGCAGAACTGGCATTCAAAACACAGTTCTTTTTGTGAGGCCCTGACAGTGGAGACGAGAGGGATGTCTGCAAGGATGAGGAGGAGGAGGAGGAGGAGGAGGAGGAAGGCGAAGACTGCGGCTTCCTCTTTTTGTTACTTGGAGACTCGTCGCTACGGGTGGACAGGTCTTTGACTTTTGAGGATTTGCTGGTTTTGGTTTTGGATGGCTTGTGGGATGGGGAAGGGATGACAGCTGGTATCGGGGACACGGCGGATGGGGCCTTGAAGGTTGAGTCCATGATGCTGAGGGTTGCGGCCACATGAGGGAAAGCTGTGGTGTGGGACATGAGGGCGCTCGGGTCCGGCGATGTCACGAAAGCTGCGTTTGAGAGCATGGCTGATGTCATTATGTAAGAAGAGGTGAGCCTCGAGCTGATGGGAGCTGAAGGAAGATACACAGCACTGGGGTTGCTGAAAGGCTGCAAAACGGATGCTGGAACGGGGGTGGTGATGTGGGCTGCCGGCGAGGGCAGGGGGCTATCTGCCGCAGGAGGGATCTTCCTAAACACGAGAGAAGAGTGAAAGACAGTCAGTGAGACATGGGGTCGGCATTGCTCGGGAGGCTCGATGACGCTTGAGCATCAGGGCTACACAGGACACCCCGGCAGAACCAGACTATGGAGAATGAAGCCTTGAAAGATGGGAGACTCTGAAGCATGGCCCCTCCTTATGGCACCCCCCACTGCAACATCCAGCAACCTAATTTGCATCACGCTTAGTAGCCTTTCAGATCCTTTTCCCCAGGCTTGACTACTGGAGAAGGCCTGATTTTGGTTCATGAATAAGAGGTCAATGTTATTCAGAATAGAAATTTCCCCAGTATTCTCCTCTCTCAACCCACCCCCCTCTTTTTTTCTTGGCAGCGATGAAGGTGGTTTTTAATGAGAAGTGATCATCTCACATGTAGGTCCTGGTGGCAGGTAAGAAATGTGAGGATAGGGCTTTGCTACCTGGACACAGGGGCCGGAGCTTCCCCGCTCCACCCACTCCAGCTTCTGTCCAGGGACTCTCAGGGCTTCCCCACCCTGCTCTGGGCTGGAGGCAGTTGGAGAACGGTCCTCTCCAGGGCCAGCATCCTCCTGCCTTTGCCATCTGCAGCCTCTGGTTCCCTCAGCAGAGAGCCATTTCCATACTGACTTGTGGCTGCCGGCTCCTGGTGGCTGGGTGTGAAGGGTTAGGGGTTTGGGAATGGTGAGATGACAAGTTGCCCATTCCCAAACTAGCTTTGTTTTTTCCTATTCAGCCCACCCTACCTTAGCTCTCGCTCACAGGAGCTGTCAGGGGTGTGGCTGCTGACCTTTAGCAGGTCTTCCTGTCCTGTGTTCGGAAAAGGTGAGTGTGGGACCCTCATGTGTCCAGAGAAGGGGATCAGGGATTTCTAGTTTGTTCCAAAGATAAATGTAGGATGTCAGTAGGAGGAGAAAGACAGGAGGGGAGGGGAAACCCACTGTTTCCTTCTCTGGTCTGCTTGGGGCTTGGGGGAGTGCCTCAGAGCAAACTCTCAGGAGCCAAGGCCAGCACTAGGCTGTGGCTTACTCTTGGGGCCTCCCTGCTAACTCCCTTGCGCTGGGAGTGACTCCTCCTTCCATTCCACAGCCTGGGGCGCTGCTGCTGCTGCTGCTCTGGAGACCGGGAGGAGGCACGGGGCGGCCACAGGGATGAGAATTTGCAGGAAAGCACAAGGCCCTTGGGAGCCAGGTAAATGTGCTCAAGCTGGTCCTTCCCTGCTTCTCACCTTGCTCCTTCTCCCGGTCTCCCTGGGAAATCATTTTCACCGTAGCTGGGGCTCACTAGCAATTAGGAACTAGCTTTCCTTCTTTGAAAGCAGCACATGAAGGTGAGCAGGCCCAGAGCCTGTGACCCAGTGGGCTAGAACACATGCCACACAGGGCCTCACACCACCCTTTCTCTTCTTTGGAGGCCACTCTCCCAGCTGCAGCATCAGGACCAGTGCCAGGGAACTCTGGAAAGAGGAACTGCTGAGAGATAAGATGTTTCTCCTAGCATTCCTCTCTCTGAAGATTCTGCTTTCGGTCTGCACTTTGGTGGAGCCTGTGGCATCTATCTTTAGGGTGGAATCCCGAGGGATCCTTGTCCTTGAAAATGTCAGACCAAAGGGATCAAATATAAGAGAAAAATGTTGCCAAACTCACAGTGGCCACGATGGTGTTGAGAATTTACTTTCTCTCAAGCCTAAAGAAGGTAAGAGATCTGTTGGCACTCAGCAAGGTGCCCCACAAATACTTGTTGCAATGAATGAGTGAATGAATGGATGGATGAATGGGCAGGTGGATGGGTGAGCAGGTGGATTCTCAGCAGCACCATACCCGATTGTTAGGGACTCTGCATGCTGGGCAAGGACTCCCATATAATCAGACTGGAAATGTCTACACACGTTCTTAGAACTGTATGGCACTGCACAACCCCTTCCTAACAGGGACGGGGAACGTTTCTTAGAGGGGGAGGTGCCTCCCAACTTTCCTGCTGCTTCTGTTGCCTTCTGTGGTACTATAAGCAACCCACTCCATCTTTCCTTGACTTCAAGTTTGCTTACCCACTAAAGTATACATAGAAATACATGTGGGCAGAGGTTTGGCAGTTACTTGTAATAAAAAGTTATTTACAAATACCAGATGACTCATTTAGAGAGGATCCCAATCAATGACTCTGAATGGGATCCATTTTTAATGTCTCAATTTATAATTTTCCATTTAAATAGTATAAATTTACGCTTCAACTCATGCTGACTAGCAGAGCTGAGTCCTAAATCTCACCTGGCTGGCACTTGGGACTGGGATGGCAGCTCTTTTGAGGCACACTTTCTATCCTTTTCTTGCCTCACTAATCACATGTGGATAGCAGGGGTGGGAGGGGAGACAGGGTGGGGGAAACAGGGTGAGGGGCATGTGGCAGCTCCCTATCCTCAGGAGTCCCTCCCCCTCCAAGGCTAAACAGTTTATGTGTTTTTCTAGGTGCCAAACGGCAGGGGATTTCAGCTTTGCTGGGCTGTGCTCTGGTTTAAGCGTTGCACACTGGCCCAGGGAAGTCCCATACTAAAGCCCACAGATGCGAATAAATTACTGACAGTGCCCATCCTCCCCTGCCAGGTGGCGTGGAGGTCCAGATGCTGACCTGGCTGAAAGAGAATACTGTGTTGGCGGCTCCTGATGCAGAGTTAAATGCTTGTTAAAGAAAAAAGAGTCTTGGCCGTTCCTTTTCTTCCTAATGTCTTCCATGCCCCCATCGGCTGCCATCCCTGCAGGTTCGGGCCCGCCTGGGCCTGGGGTTTGGGCAGCGAGGTTGAGAGGGTAGCGGGGTGCTACGCTCTCCAGAGTTGACACCCAGGCAGCCCCAATGTTGCTCAGTGACAGCAGATTGGTTAGGCAAGTCCTGAACAGGGGGGAGGGACCTGATGCCCTGTGGCTCGGGCTTCTGTGCCTGAGGAGGAAAGGAATATGGAGCTTGAGCTGACAGGACAGCAGGGAGTGAAATACAGATCAACACATTCCTTCCACGTGTCTGGGATTGATACTTCCATAACACAGAGAGCAAAGAGCTTCGAGGATCACCAGGGCTGGCTGCCGTCTTGGGGAATAAGCGCAGAGGCTCAATCACCAAGTAACTGAGAACATGGTCACCTCACGTGCAGCACCAATTTGTTGTTTGGAATGGACACATGTAAATATCAAGGGTGCCCTTTAGACACACTGGGCAGTCACTTAAATGGGAAGAAATGATAAGCTTCTCTTGTGGCCCTTACCTACCTTACAGTAAATATTAATATTTAGTCCTAAGTCTGGCATGAGAGCTCAATGCAGATACAAATGGGGATTGCTTCTCCTATAAGTTCAGGTCTGGAAGCTCTTTAGGCTTCCAGAAAGGGGCCTGAGGTGTCGTAGCTGCCTGGGGGAGAGGAGGAAACCTGGGAGAGGGGTAAATTTTGACTTCTGTTCCCTCCCGTTTCTTTTGAATGCCTTCCTTGCCTCTAATGGGCCTCAGGGGGCAGGTGGGGGGCCTCAGCTGTTGTCCTTCCTGGACTATCTAGGCCCCGATTTACATGATCCATGACTCCAATGGACGATGATATATTGAGAGCTCATCATTGTAGGAGTGGGGCATGGGGATACCCAGTGGGCTGCCCTTACATTATCAAGTGGCCAAAATGCTAGCCACTTACGTGCTATGGTTTGAGAGGGTCTAGGCCTATTATTTCTTCCCAATAGCATTCTTTCAGATTAAGCCTTCTTCCCTGTTTATGAATCCCTTATTAAGATGTAAGTACACTGGGAAGTGGATAATAAGGGAACTTAAAAGAAAGGGAACATAAGTTAGAGTTCAGGGTAGAGAAGTACAAGTGAGGTGGGGGGGTCCTAGGGAGACAGGAAGGGCCAGAGACAAACTTAACCAGCTTCATAGCATTGCTCAGGATCTGCCCTGTTGGCAGGTGTACAGATGCTTTCACAGGACAGCAAACAATTAGAAAGTGGTCTACACCATTATGAAATCTTTAGTTTCTTTTTTTTTTAAACAGAGTCTCGCTCTCTCACCCAGGGTGGAGTGCTCAAACTCCTCCTCCTGGGTTCAAGAGATTCTCCTGCCTCAGTCTCCTGAGTAGCTGGGATTACAGGTGTGCACCACCAGCTAAATTTTGTATTTTTAGTAGAGACGGTGTTTGACAATGTTGGCCAGGCTGGTCTTGAGCTCCTGACTTCAGGTGATCCACCTGCCTCAGTCTCCCAAAGTGCTGGGATTACAGGCGTGAGCCACCGAGCCTGGCTGAAATCTTTAGTTTTGATATTGTAGCATTAACATTACAAGTAGAAGCATGTTCTTTTTTTTTTCTTTTTTTTAAAAATAAATTTTTTTTTTTTTTCTTTTAAACGGGGTTTCACCATGTTGGTCAGGCTGGTCTTGAACTCCCGACCTCTGGTGATCCACCCATCTTGGCCTCCAAAGTGCTTGGATTATAGGTGTGAGCCACCACGCCCGGCCTTTTTTTCTTTTTTTTAACAGAGAGGGTCTTGCTCTGTTGCCCAGGCTGAGTGCAGTGGTACAACCATAGCTGTGACCTTGAACTCTTGGGCTGAAGGGATCCTCCCACCCCAGGCCTTCCAAGTAGCTAGGATCATAAGTGTTTGTCACCACACCCAGCTAATTTTTAAAAATTATTTTTTGTAGAGAAGAGGTCTTGCAATGTTGCCAAGGCTGGTCTTGAACTCCTGGCCTCAAGCAATCCTCTTGCCTCGGACTCCCAAAGAGCTGGGATTAGAGGCATGAACCACCACATTCAGCCAGAAGCATGTTGTTAATATCCTTAGATTCTCTAGGAGCAATGAAAAGGCCCTTTAACACAGGTAAACAAACAATATCTAATATCCTTCTCATTTAGATTACCAACACAAAAATGGTCTCCAAAAAAGACAAAGCATGTAACACATCATTCGTGTTTCTCAAAACCTTCAGGCAAACCATTAAGAAGAGCTGGCATTTAAGAATTAATCAAGCATGCTGATTTCAGAATGATTTTGTTCTATGAAAAGTTAACCACTGACATTTATATAGAAAGTTAGGTTTCAGGTAACTGTGGGGCAGCTCAGATCTTACATATTGCACAAAAGCTGCTCACTTACTTCCACATCTGTGAATTCAGGTGTTTTTCTACCATGGAGTTTAGTGCGAATCGAAAACGATCCCATCTTCTATCAAATACATAGTACCCTCGTCCCATGAGGCGACTCCCAAATGAGCAAAACTGTGAGGAAAAAAAATTTTTAATTTTGATTACAGGTTAATAAACTAATATAAACTATACAGAGAAAAATAACATTTGCATAAAAGCACACAGGGGCACAATTTTACTCAAAATAAAGCAGCAAATCATACTGAAGCCAAAAATATTTCTGCAGAGCTGTAGTTCGAGCTCTGAATTTTCTGCAGAACCTCACATTACAACTCAACAATAGCTACATTCAATTTTCTGTGGCACAGAGCGGGCTACGTTCTCTACTCTTGGGATAACACCACCAGACGCAATGGCTCACGCCTGTCATCCCAGCACTTTGGGAGGCTGAGATGGGAGGATCACTTGAGGTCAGGAGTCCCAGACTAGCCTGGCCAACATGGTGAAACCCCGTCTCTATTAGAAATACAAAAATTAGCCAGGCGTGGTGGTACGTGCCTGGGATCTCAGCTCCTAGGGAGGCTGAAGCAGAAGAATCTCTTGAACTTAGGAGATGGAGGTTGCAGTGAGCTGAGATCGTGTCACTGCACTCCAGCCTGGGTGAAAGACTGAGACTGTGTCTCAAAAAAAAAAAAAAAAAAAAATTAGAGAAGCAATAATCAGCACCCAGGGTGACTTTTCAGGACCATCCGTTTGTCCTATTACCAGCCACATTTTCTCAAGGAACTTGGCGGTTCCCTGCTTCTCATCACAGTAATGGAAACTGCCTGTGCTGGTGTCGCAGGTCCCACCTTTCCTATCTGATGTCAACAGAGCCACTTTGCTTCCAGCCAGGCTGAACGGCTTCCTTTGCCAGTCCTGATCCCATTTCTGCCTCCAATCAGTCTTTGTAGGCTGTACTGGGACACAGCACCACCTTGAAGCTTTTGCTCCTGCTGTTCCTTCTCCCTGCTATCTCCTTTCCTCTTCTTTTTAAAAAAATTTATCATTTATTTATTATTATTATTTTTTGAGATGAAGTTTCACTCTTGTCGCCCAGGCTGGAGCGCAACGGTGCGATCTCGGCTCACCGCAACCTCCGCCTCTCAGGTTCAAGAGATTCTCCTGCCTCAGTATCCCAGTAGCTGAGATTGCAGGCAGGCACCACCATGCCTTAATTAATTTTCTTTGTATTTTCAGTAGAGACGGGGTTTCTCCATGTTGGTCAGGCTGGTCTTGAACTCCCACCTCGGTCTCCCAAAGTGCTGGGATTACAGGCGTGAGCCACCGCGCCCAGTCCTCCCCTCTTCTTTTTGTCAATCCCAATTCACCCCTCTCTCTCCTGGTTCCCTTATCAAGACTCTCATTTCCAGGGGCTCTCATCTAAGTGATCCTCCCACTGTGAATTCCCATGGCACACCCATTGCCTACTTTATTACACTTAGCTTTGGACTCATGACATGGCTGTTTTACATTATATACAGGATGCCTACACACCTGACTTGACTGTCAGTTTACAGACAGGGGAGCTCATCCTCTTCCATCTCCTTAGTAAGAGGACTGTAGGCATTTGGGCTAACAAATGGATTGGGGAGACAGGAATCCAGAATATATTTAAAGCACACTATCCCTCTTAAAATATGTGGATGAAATATTGGCCTTCAGATGTTTAATAAACATTTGATCATAATGTTGGGACAACCGGAAGGCTAGCAGACAGAAATACAAGAAGCAGCCTCTGAGAAGGTGGCATTTGGCTGGTTTAGGGCTCAGGCGAGTCTGCAAATGACTCTATAACTCAAAAGCAGCTCTCCCCGTTCCTCTAGGCCTCCCAGCAGCTCCCTGGCCTCTATCCCAGACACAGGGCTGGATTGGCACTCATTCCACAAACTCGTCCTGGAACCAGCCTTTGGAACCATTCTCAGGAGGAAATGCAAGACCTTCCCTTTGTTCTGTTTCTGTTGGTATTTTGGGGGGTTTTGCGTTAAAATCTTGTCACCCATCTAGTACTGCTGATGAAAAATGCTTCTCTGCATTTTCATGTTAAGTGCTTACTGACCAGCAAGAAAACATACGAAGGGAATTTTCCGACACAGAAACTGGTCCCCGGCAGCACATGGGAGCTGTTCCAGGTCTAGACATCATTTCTTCCCTCATCCCAATTGCTAAAGATGCACCGAGCAAGCATCCATTATAAACAATGATTTAATGTATCAACTGGCCACAAGAGAAAGGACAAAGCAAAGACACACATCCATGGCTTTTCCATTTAAATCAGCAAAACATTCAGGGCACACAGCTGTGCCACATCCCGAGTTTAGCAAATCCACTGTAGCTTGGCAGCTTGTCATTTGGACAAATGTCTTGATGTGCTCCAGAGTCTGGCCTTCTGGAGAGCCTCGTATCTCTTTCAGACTCAGGAGCTGGAGGCACTGTTTTGTCTTTGCTACCTGTGTATCTGATTCTGTACGGACGTGAGGCTCGGCGCTGAGAAGCTCCAGTTCCCAGCTGGCATGTTACGCCTCCAGCAGAGCTGTAGATCCTCACTGCGTGGGCCACCGTGGCAGACCCTACTGGTTGCCAACCTCACCAACTGCCACCCACTCCCACCTCTCTCTGTCTTTTCCTTGCTAACAGAATCGTACTTTTGTTCTTGTATCTGACACAGCAGTATTCAAGTGGGTCTCCTCCCAGAACCTTGGGATGAACCATGGCTGGTTCCTCCTGCGTCACTGTAACCCCTTCCTTCTCTGCTGCCAACTGATCTAAGGGTGGGCATGTGATCCATTTATGTTAGATATAAGGGGAAGTCTGCTGGGGGTTTCATAGGAAGATTTTCTCTCCTAACATAAGGCAGCATCTTGGAAGAAGACCCCTTTTCTGTTTGTCCCTTTCCAACCTGAGAGGCACACCACTGGGTGAGGATGTAATATCGGAGCTGCAGCTGACATACTGGGACCGTGTGTGAAAGGTAGAGGGAGTTGCAGAGATTGTCCCTCAGCTACATGACATTGTGGAGAAGCTGAACCAAGCTTGGGAGCACCTGCCTCCAGACTCCCTGCGATATGAGATAACTTTTTTTTTTTTTTTTTGAGACGGAGTTTCGCTCTTGTTACCCAGGCTGGAGTGCAATGGCGCGATCTCGGCTCACCGCAACCTCTGCCTCCCGGGTTCAGGCAATTCTCCTGCCCCAGCCTCCTAAGTCGCTGGGATTACAGGCACGCGCCACCATGCCCAGCTAATTTTTTGTAGTTTTGGTAGAGACGGGGTTTCACCATGTTGACCAGGATGGTCTCGATCTCTTGACCTCGTGATCCACCCGCCTCAGCCTCCCACAGTGCTGGGATTACAGGCTTGAGCCACCGCGCCCGGCCACGATATGAGATAATTAAGTGACCTCAGCGCTTGTGCCAGATGAGCTGAGTTTTCTACTTCTGGCAGTCAAAGGCATTCTGAATCGTCCCTGACTATTTTCTGTACTAACCAAGAAGCAAAGTCTCAGGCTTGATGGTGAGCCACAGGTAAGCATTATTCCCAGGAAAGGGAAGTGAACTTGGCCTTCATTCATGACACGGAGAGGAGGGAAGAGGGATTCATTCTATCTTGATATAGGAGCAGGATGGATTTCATTTACAGTCTAGAGACAGTCAGAGCTGATCTTGCAGGACTCAGGCTGGCACCAGAGTAAACCACCATGGGGTCCCATGTTCTAGGCCCCTACATTTGGCTCTGTGATGGCAGCACCAGGTATTCCCTTCTCAAGCGCTCGCAGGCAAGCAATAAACAAGCCTCCAGCGATGCCTCCTGTTTCCCACCTCAGTTTCAATGACCTTCTGAATTGTTAGCGTGCACTCATTCAAGGAATTGGAAAGAAAGTACCCTTTTTTATTAATCAGTAATCATGGTGACCTGAAATGCTTCCTCTTTCCTTCAACACACACACACGCTCAGTTCTGGTGCCATCTGGTCACATAACAGTAATACTTAGAACCAACAGGGGAGAATATCAGCAAGGGCTGGCTCCTGACATGCTGCTGAGAAAGACGGCTTCCCGAGCAGGTGAACCCAGCTAACCCTGGACATCAGAGGCTCCGTTTTTAGATGGCCAAGGCCAGAGGGTCAGCTCAAGCATGCTCACTTCAAGGCAGCCCATAAATACTCAGGATTATCCTTTTTTCCCCTTTTTTTCTTTTTAGTAGTATGTGGAAGTACTCGGGATTATAATCAGCTGGGAGCCTGTTCCTTTCCTTTTGTAATATTCAAGGGTATTTCTAAGGCAATCATTCAAATTCACGATAAGCCTTTTTGTAAAACACTGCACAAACAGCCTTGCCTCAGGAAGGATCATGCCTCTAGTATGATCACCTAAGTGTCTGCAAAGCACAGGCGAGGAACGCACGGCAAGGAACAGAAGGAGGCCTACCGCAAGAGGTCTGGGGTGGTGTGTGGAGAACTGACAGTCTAGCTTCTCGGGTTCGTCGGCTCCGTCCATCTCCCCTTCATCACTGGACAGTCGGCTGGCGAGGTCAACTCCAACCGGTGGCAGTGGGGGCTCTGGAGTGTGGCCGCTATGATTTGAAGACGCGCTGCTGCTTATGCTATTTGCAGATGATGGTCTAAGGGCAAGAGGGGAGGACAAACAAAATAAACCAAATAAACCTTTTCTGAGGTAACAAGATCCACCCAGTTTAATGGTGTTCAGAAAGCCTGATTAAGGCCGGGTGCGGTGGCTCACGCCTATAATCCCAGCACTTTGGGAGGCCGAGGCAGGCCGATCACAAGGTCAGGAGATCAAGACCATCCTGGCCACCATGGTGAAACTCCATCTCTGCTAAAATACAAAAAATTAGCCAGGTGTGGTGGCGCATGCCTGTAGTCCCAGCGACTCAGGAGGCTGAGCAGGGGAATCACTTGAATCCAGGAGGTGGAGGTTGCAGTGAGCTGAGATTGCACCACTGCACTCCAGTCTGGTGACAGAGCAAGACTCCATCTCAAAAAACAAACAAACAACAAACGAACAAAGAAACCAGCTTGATTAGCCTTGCCAATACCTCAGGGTGGGCACATCAGTGGTGACTTTGCACAAGGGAAAACAATCAAGTCTGAAGGGTTTGCAGTGACCATCTCTCTCCAGGGACCTAGTTAAGTTAGGTTCTGCCCCACTTGCTTTCTCTGGGGCAGATGACAGGAATGATGGAAAAGCCCAACAGCATAAGTGGAACGTCAAATATGGGAACGTGACAAAGTGAAATGAACAGGAACAAGTCTTCTATGGATTCAGTTACAACTATTCACCCATTTGCAGGTAAGTAAGCTGCACTTGCCATACAATTGCTTTTCTTTCTTTCTTTCTTTCTTTTTCTTGAGACAGAGTCTCGCTCCATCGCTGGGAGCCAGGCTGGAATGCAATGGCGAGACCTCAGCTCACTGCAACCTCCGCCTCCCGGGTTCAAGCAATTCTCCTGCCTCAGCCTCCTGAGTAGCTGGAACTACAAGCGCGTGCCACCACGCCCAGCTAATTTTTTGTATTTTTAGTAGAGACGGGGTTTCACCATGTTGACCAGGATGGTCTCGATCTCTTGACCTCGTGATCTGCCCTCCTCGGCCTCCCAAAGTGCTGGGATTACAGGCATGAGCCACCGCGCCTGGCCACAATTGCTTTTCTTTGAAAGTGGAACCTGGCAGGAAGATCAACCAGGTAAACAAGATCAGAGCAATCACCAAAATACCAGTAATGAAGAAACACAGTCCTTTGGATACGTTCTTTGACACAAAGCTATGACTTTAGGAAACTGTTATCATACCGGCCTGTCACTTAATGTTGAGCTGTGTGTAGTTTAAATGTATTTTCTGAGAATGAGCGTTTTAATTAATTAATTAATTAATTTTTTTGAGACAGTCTTGCTGTGTCCGCCAGGCTGGAGTGCAGTGGTGCCATCTCAGCTCACTGCAAACTCTGCCTCCCAGGTTCAAGCGATTCCAGGCACCTGCCACCATGCCTGGCTAATTTTTGTATTTTCAGTGGAGAAAGGCTTTCACCATGTTGGCCAGGCTGGTCTTAAACTCCTGACCTCAGGTGATCCGCCCACCTTGGCCTCCCAAAGTGCTGGGATTACAGGCGTGACCCACTGCATCCGGCTTCAATTTACTTTTTGACAAGCCCTTTTATGCACTGTGGGGCATGATTGGCTTATAGTAGGTGCTAAAGAGAGATTTTTCTCAATGAATGAAATGAATGAATGAATTCTATGTGGGTATAAAACAACCCAACAGATGTCATCTTAATTATGGTTAAGCTTATAAAAAGCAATGTCACAATAAGAGGCAGTAACTACCTGCTTCCTAGGCAGTAAAAAAACAAAACAACACCAGAAAAAACCAAAATCAAACACATCCACATTAGCAGAAGAGTTAGATGAGAAATAGTCACAGTTAACTGCTACTCGTTTTTACTACTTCTCCACTTTCATCAGGTGATTGAGCAGGGAGAGGTGAAAAAGTCAGGGAGAAAAAGAAGTTTTGGAGGAAAAAAAATGTTTTTCTGCTTTCTGCTTTGAAAGCTGCTCCTTCAAGTCTCATGAAACAGCAATGCTGATCTGTCTCCCTTCTCTCTTATTTTTACCCTGGATTCTCTGTTGCTTCGAAATTTTTTCAGGTCTCAAATACTTGAACTTAAACCAGTATATCACTTAAAAACAAAACCACAAAGGTGAAAACAACCCAAGTGTCCATGAGCTGATGACAGGATAAACAAAATACGGTATATCCATCCAATGGAATATTATGCAAGCCTTAACAAGACATGAAATTCTGCTACGATATGAATGACACTTGAAAGCATCACACTAAATAAAATAAGCCAGACATGAAGGACAAATATTGGATGGTTCCATTAATAGGAGATACCGAGACAGAAAGTAGAAAAGAGTTATCAGGAGTTGGAAGGAGAGGGAATAGGGAAGGGGTGTTTAGTGGGTATACAGCTTCAATTGGAGATGAAGAGAAAGTTCTGGAGATGGATGACAGTATGAGTACACAACACTGTGAATGTGCTTAATGCCACTAAACTAGACACTTAAAAATGGTAGAGTTTGTGTTACGTATATTTTACTAGGAAAACAAAACAAGGCCATAGGTAGTTTTTCAGTGTCATGACAAGAATTCTGTTGGGATGACAATTTATTTTGGACTATCACCTTCCTGTATTATAAAAACAAAGATGCCATTCATTCTGCGTGTCCACAGGCCAAAGGACACATCTCCCCAGACGTTCCTCAATACCTGCTCTTCTGTATCAGGAGGGGCAACAACGCTATTGTCTGCTTACCAATGAAGACCCAAATAATAAAATCATTTAGATGAGGCCGAAACATAAAAACAAACAAACAAACCAGTATCCATAACTCTGCCACCCAAGATCAAGTGTTATTAGCATTTTGATTTCCATCCTTCCAGACTTTGTTACTGTGCACACACATCAAATGCATTTTAAAGCAAGAACTGGATCACACGATCACACTGAACATGAAATGTGAACAGTACCTACTATTTTGAGATATCCTTTTTTAAAAACCTAGTGATATTGTAGAAGTGTTTCCATGTATAGAACTACATCACTTTTAGTATTCTCCAGTAATCCATAGTATGAATATGTCATAATTTACTTAATGAATCTTCTATTGATGAACATTTGTTTCCAAACTTTCTAACAGGCTCTCTCTCTGTGAAACCCTGTCCATCATGATAGGACCTCCTTGTCCTGCATGAAATAGGTAAAAAGGAGCTGGATTTTATTGTGATAATAGCATCATGGTTATGTAGGGAATTGCTTCTTTTTATGTACTTATTTTTATTTTTTAGAGACAAGATCTCGCTCTGTCACCCAGGCTGGAGTGTAATGGCATGATCATGGCTCAGTGCAGCTACAAACATCAGGGCTCAGGGCATCCACCCACCTCAGCCTTGTGAGTAGCAGGGCCTATAAGCACGTGGCACAACATCAGGCTAATTTTAAAGTATTTTGTAGAGACAGGGTCTTGCTTACATTGCTCAGACTGGTCTCAAACTCCTGGCCTCAAATGATCATCTTGTCTCAGCCTCTCAAAGTGTTGGGATTGCAGGTGTGATCCACTGTGCTATGCCTGTCTTTACCTTTATTTATTTATTTTTCTTTTTTTGAGACAGACTCCTGCTCTGTCGTCCAGGCTAGAGTGCAGTGGCATGATCTCGGCTCACCGCAACCTCCACCTCCTGAGTTCGAGAGATTCTCCTGTCTCAGTCTCCTGAGTAGCTGGAATTATAGGTGTGTGCCACCATGCCCGGCTAATTTTTGTATTTTTAGTAGACATGTGGTTTCACCATGTTGGCCAGGCTGGTCTCGAACTCCTGACCTCAGGTGATTCACCTGCCTCAGCCTTCCAAAGTGGTGGAACTATAGGTGTGAGCCACCATACCCTGTCTTTACTTTTTAAAGATGCATTTGGAAGGCTTTTGAGGTGAAATGCCATGGTACTTGCAATTTGTGTTAAAATGTCATCAGAAAATGTAGATGAAGCAAATATAATCACAAAATATTAATATAGTATCTGTTAAAGCTAGACGTGGGTTTTATACTAGTCTCTCTTCTACACATAGGAAAAATTTTATAATGAAAAGTAGAAAAAACAAAAACAAGAAGAAAATAGAGTTGGTACTATAGGTATATATAAGAAAGTTACTGAAGAACTTCCTATATTTTGGCATTTTATTTTCCTTCAGCTTTATTGAGGTATAACATCTTATACTTATAATACATAAATAAAATTGTATGTATTTTAGGTATATAATGTGATTTGATAATATGTATACATTGTAAAAGGATTACCACAATCAAGTTAGCTAACATATGTCTCCTCACAGTTACCGTTTTTTTGTTTTTCCATGGTGAGAACACTTTTTTTATTTTTTAGAGACACGGTGTCTCTCTGTCTCCCAAGCTGGAGTGCAGTGGAGCAATCACTCACTGTACTCACAGGAACTTCTGTGCTCAAGGGATCTTCCAACCTCAGCCTCCCAAATAGCTGGGACTACAGGCGTGAGCCACTGAGCCCAGTGAAATACGCTTAAGATCTACTTACTTAGCAAATTTCAAGTACACAATACAGTATTATTAACTAGAGTCACCACGCTAGAGATTAGATCCCCAGAGTGTATGCATCTTGTAACTGAAAGTTGTCTAGGCCGGGCGCGGTGGCTCAAGCCTGTAATCCCAGCACTTTGGGAGGCCGAGGCGGGTGGATCACGAGGTCAAGAGATCAAGACCATCCTGGTCAACACGGTGAAACCCCGTCTCTACTAAAAATACAAAAAATTAGCTGGGCATGGTGGCGC